TTTTAAACTAGATATGTCACGACCCCAAATCCCGATCCGGTCATGATGGCGCCTCTCGTGAAGACAAGGCCAGCCAACCAACCCATTTTGCCTTTTCAGGATAGTTAATATTAATAATCAATTTTAGCATGATTAAATAACCACAAACTATACAAAAGATTTCTTTATAAAGTGCGGAATACAGCCCAACACCGGGGTGTCACAAGTTACGAGCATCTATTAGAGTATAACTACAACTACAAGGCTTGAAACATTCAAAATAAGACTGATAAGCAAAAGGAAGAAATGTGGTGCTGCGAACGCTGGCAGTCACCTCGCTAAACTCCGATAACTTAGCTAGCTCAAAACCCGCTACCGGGTGAACAAATACCTGCATCTGCACACGAGCTGCAGGGAGTACAGTGAGTACTCCAACTCAGTGAGTAAGAAAGGTAAATAACAACTGAGCAGTAAGAAATCACATAAAGCAAACCATCATGCTGTATAGAAGCAGTGTAAAACCCTTTGAGAAAAGCAGTGAAGTTGTGAAATCTTTAGAAATATCTTAGCTCAGTTTAAAACCTCTTTGGAAAATGATCCTTTCACAGTTATGCAAATGATTGCAAAAATAAATAGTGCAGATAAGCACAAAAGTCCGCCCCTCGGGCACCATTCTCAATTAACAGATAATGTCAGGCAATCCGGTAGATATCACATGAAGTAGCACAAACAACAGATAATGGCAGACAATGACATAAAGTAAACACATAGAACAGTACCAGTACCGCTGCGGCTTGTAGCTCGATCCATATATCGCTGCGGCGTGCAGCCCGATCCATATTTATCGTCGACGGCGCTCACTGGGGGTGTACAGACTCCGGGAGGGGCCCCTTACGGCCCAAGCGCAATAACAAGCCATCTCGTGGCATCAATCTAGGCCCTCGGCCTCATATCAATATCAGTGTAACACTGCTGTGGCGTATAACCCGATCCAAAAGTATCCTCACAATACATGCCCTCAGCCTTATCCAGTCAAAGATCACACAAGCCACTCGGGCAACAGTAAAACATGATGCTCAGCCCAAAATATTATTCGAAATATCATTTCAAGTGCTTAAGGCATAATAAACTTGGCTGAGTTTTAAAACAGTGGAAAATACATGACTGAGTTCAAGTATATATAATCAAAACAGTGAGGAATTATCAACAACAATCCCCGAAGGGTTCAAATAGCTGGCACGAAGCCCAAATTATGATGATAACAAGTAAATTTCAGTCAAATACGCAGTAAATTCATCAATCGGGACGGACCAAGTCACAATCCCCAACGGTGCTCTACCTCACGCTCGCTATCCGGCGTGCAAGTCACCTCAATATAGCACTACGATGTGCAAATCCGGGGTTTCAAACCCTCAGGATATCATTTACAATCATTACTCACCTCGAACCGGCGAAATCTCTAGCTCGCGACGCCTTTGCCCCTCAAATCGGCCTCCACGCGCGTCGAATCTATCCAAAACCTGAATGAATACATCACAATATGCTAAGGGAACAAAGCCCAAACGAAAACAATCAATAACGGGCACAAATCCCGAAATTACCAAAACCCGAGCCTCGGGCCCACTTCTAGAAACTAGACAAACTTTATACCAAAATGTTCTTCATCATCTCACGAGTCCGTACATATAAAGAACTCAAAAACCGGAGTTCGTTTGACCCCTCAAATTATCTCTAGAAGGTCTCATAATCTCAAGCCCTAACTCCACCTTTTTCTATTGATTTTCATGTTTAAATCCATGTAAGATCACATATTTAACTCAAAAATAGGAAAAAATCAATTACCTAGTGTTGCTTGGTGAAAATCCCTCCTTGAGCTCTCCGAAATCGTCCAAGCTAAATGAAAGGAATGAGCTAAAACTCGTGTTTAAAACAATCTGCTCAGGCTTCATCGAGTTGTACCTTGTGCTGTGCAGGTTGTACATCCTTTTAACATTTTTCCCTGCTGTACACCTTCTGCTAAAACGCCCATAACCCCTTGTGAAAATATCCAAATGACAAACGGTTTGAAGATTTAGAAAGTAGACTCGGTGATCTTTCATTTGATAGATTGTACACCTTATAATCCTTTATATATTCCGAGATATGAGCTTCTAAAGTGCATCAGAAAATTCTGACGAAATTGCTTCACAAGCCATTTTCGATCCATCATAACTTTCTTAGATAATATCCAAATCATGAATGGTTTAACTTTATGGAAACTAGAATATAAGAGCTACAACGTTCGTGTTTTGTAATTTTTCTGATTCCTTATAGATTGCAAGATATGAGCTTCCAAACTAGATTCCTCGCACCAGAAATTTTCTGGTGCACAGCTGAAGCTAAAAGAAAAATTTGCAATTTTTCCAAAGATGAAATAGTCCGTTTAACCACCCAAAACTCACCCGAGGCCACTGGGACCTCAACCAAACATGCCAACATATCCCATAACATCATTCAAACTTGTTCCAACCTTCGGAACGCTCAAAACAACATCACAACACCAAATTCACATCGGATTCAAGCCTAAGAATTTCAAAATCTTCTAAATTACTCTTTTGATAAAAAACCCAACCAAACCACGTCCGAATGACATGAAATTTTGCACACACATCCCAAATGACACAACGGAACTATTGTAACTCTCGGAATTCCATTCCGACCCCTATATCAAAATCTCACCTATCAACTGGAAAACGCCAAAAAATATCAACTTTGCCAATTCAAGCCTAAATCCACTACTAACCTCCAAAACTCCTTTCGATCACGCTCCGAAGTCATAAATCACCTCCCGAAGCTAAACGAACCATCAGAACTCACATCTGAGCCCTCTAACACATAAGTCAATATCCGGTTGACTTTTCCAACTTAAGCTTCCTTAAAAGAGACTAAGTGTCTCAAACCTTACCAAAATCATTCCGGAATAACTTCAAATTTTACACACAAGTCACATTCGATATTACGGACCTACTCCAACTTTCGGAATCGGAATCCGACCCCGATATCAAAAAGTCAACTCTCGGTCAAACTTCTCAAAAACCTTCAAATTTCTAACTTTAGCCAAATGACTCCAAAATGACCCACGGACCTCCGAATTCACTTCCGTTCGCGCTCCCAAGAATCACCTTACGGAGCTATTCCCAGACTCGAAATCCCAAACGGACATCGATAACACTGATATGGACTTCAACCCAAACTTATGAAATTCTTTCAAAAATGCCAACTTTCACAATAGGTGCCGAAACGTTCCCGGGACTTCCTAAACCCGATCCGGACATATGCCCAAGTCCAAAATCATCACACGAACCTGCTGGAACCTTCGAATCCCGATCCGAGATCGTTCACTCAAAAACTCAACTTAGTCAATTCTTTCAACTTAAAGCTTCCGAAATGAGAATTCTTTCTCCAAATCAACTTCGAATTTTCCGGAATTCAATTCCAACCACGCGTACAATTCTTAATACCTGAAGTGAAGCTGCTCTTGACCTCAAACTGTTGAACGACGCGCTAGAGCTCAAAACGACCGTTCGGGTCGTTACAAGATATTAGCCTTATAATCCCATTAGTTTTAGGACATAATACTACACGTTAGAAATCCTACATGATTACCTTTTAATCCTATTAGTATAATTACTTTCGGGTTGTCTAATTCATATAAAATTGAACAAGTATATATCTTTAGTCATGTAATCCTATTACTTTTAGGATATACTTCTTAAAAATTCTTATTACTAATTTAATTAAAAATCGTATTATATTGTCGTATTACTAATTTAATTTGAGAATGTATGATATTGTCCAAATTTAATTAGAAAAAGGAGAGCCTATATTATTATAAAGGTATAAATACAATATTAATATACCAAAATACCCCTAAAATATTAAGCGGAAGAACTCATAGAGAAAGGATATAACTTTAATACCCTATTTTTTGGATTACAATACCTTCTTTGCTAATTTTTAATATTTTAATATTAATTAAAAAAAGATTCTATTAAATTCTTATTAAAAATATATAGGAAGGTTTAATAAAATTAATTTCATAAGAATCCTCCGTATTGGCAATATATTACCACTCCATAATGTCCAATACCAAAAATAAGTAATATTAAATGGACTGCTTAAAGAGTTGAAATTGAGAAAAAAATACCCCCCACTATAATATATATTTATATTATATTTGAACCATTTTCCTACTCAAATAATTTTTTAATCAATTGTTCGTGTAATATGGAAAATATCCAATTATTAAACAACCAAGAAAATATTAATAATATAAATGTGTGAGAAAGAGAGAAAAAAAGTGATTGGTAAGAGTCAACATCACTTATGATTTTGCAAACATAAAGATCTAAATGTAAAATGTCATATCAATCTTTTACTCTTTGAAAATAAAATTTATAGTATATAAAGTTATAATTAAGATTAAATATTCAAAACAAGAGATGAACTATTATAAAGATCTGAATCAACATAGAATAAATTATTTTTTATGTTAAAACCAAATAATTAAAATTTTTAATTAATTATTTAGCAAGAGAATTCAATTCAATAATTTTTTAAATTCATCATATGGGTAAAATTTTTATTCAAGTTAAAAAAAAATCTTAGGATACATAAATTCATTCCATAAAAAGACCGTTAGAACACAAAGTAAAAAGGTTAGTATATTATTAAGAATCAAAATGTTATACAAGTGTCTGAGGAAGCACAACCAAAGATAAATCCTAATCAAGAACACGCACTACTAGAAACTGGACCTATTGCAACGGTTTTGAAAACTGTTGCAATAGACACCTAATTGCAACGGTTATTTGCAACGGTTGTACATCCGTTGATATAGACATTCTATCGTAACGTTTTCTGGCAACGGTTCTTAAAGCGCTGCCATAGATGGTCTATCGTCATGCTTATTTGCTACGGTTAATTAATTAAAGCATAAATTCCTCTACCGCAACGCTTTACACCCCTTTTTCTTTTTCCGTTGTCTTTTCTTTCTTTTTTCTATTTCCCTTTCTTTTCCTTTAATTAATCTTTTCTAATCCACTGCCCGCACCAAAATTCGACCCCCATCTCCTACTATGTTCTCTCTCTCTCTCGCGACTTTGCTTCAGCTACTTCGTCGTAGATGCTAAGAGAGACTTTCAAGTCCAATACTCAATATGCCATGGGGGAAATGCAATACTGAGACTCGCTTCCTAATGACCATCCAGAGATTGCAGATTTGTACCAGCTCTAGCTTCGGCATCAACCATCTCTTAAACTCGAATAGTTTGTCGATTTCTCCTTTTTCAGGTCCTTTTTTCTTGTCCTATTCTTTTCCAACTAGTTCAATTAAGTAATTTTTAGGGCTTTCTGTTTTTCATTTATGTTCCTATAAGCCAAGGCTTTTTCGGATTCATTTGGTTTGGTGATATACCGATTGGGGCTAGGGTTAAAATTCTGATTTTACGCTTGGTATCATGAGGGTAGGGGTGATTTTTAGGTGGAGTTAGATTTTTTGGTTACTGTAGAAGATTTCTAGGGCTTTTTTCTCTATCTCCATCACTAATTTTATTTTTAGGGATTTTGTAGAAGATTTTGTATTTGATAGTTTAACTTTTTTATTATTATTAAATTTGTGTTATCCCCTAAATTTGGGCATGGGCGTATTTTCTGGGCTTTGAAGGAATTTTATCTTGGGAACAATGCTTAATTTTGTAGTTGAAGAGCCTGAATTCTCCTGATATTAATCATATGTGATATATTTGCACATTCGTTTGAATATCTATTACTAATATCATTGAGTATAATTCTCTTTTTCTTTTCAACTCCAATCCAGAGTTCAGGACCTATTATATCTTAGACTGAAATATAATAATATCATCCTTATTTGGTGCGATATTCCTGTAAATAGGTAGGAAATTGGAGTCTCCTCTTTGCCTAGAATGCTGAACTAAAAGAGATACTCTGACCAATCATCAAAAATATTATTATTGAACTCCAATTAACAAACTTGCATAGAAGCTTGCACTGATTGCTACATCAAGTTTTTGTTATCCCTACTTTTAGCTATTTACATTGTGAGTTTACTTTTTTATTTTCTTTATTTTCTTCTTGGGATTTTCTATTGGAATAAATTACTATATTGGCATAAAGTTATTTGACACTTGTTAGTACTATGCTTAAAGTGTTTTCTTGAATTTAGTACTGAAATATTCAGCTTGGTTTACAATTATAATATTGTATACCATGGAATTGTACTGTCACGACCCAAATTTACCACCGTCGGGACCGTGATGGTGCCTAACATTGTACTCGCTAGGCAAGCCAACGTTACAAAATATCTCACCTCTTTCCTTTATCTTTTTATAATTAAACTTAACAAAAGTAAATCGGCGGAAATAAATGCGGAAGAACACACTTTAAAAGATTATCTTTATACTAACAATGAAAACCGTAATAAATTTCACCCAGAATTGGTATCACAGCTCTCGAAAGTAGATAAAACATAAATGAAATAGGATAGAGGGAGACGCCAGGGCCTGCGGACACCTGCAGGACTACCTTGGTCTCCGGGAAGCAGTGATAGCAACCAACCTCACGATCAGCCACTTGCTCCAAAATCTGCACAGAAAGTGCAGAGTGCAGTATCAGTACAACCGACCCCATGTACTGGCAAGTGTCGAGCCTAACCTCGACGAAGTAGTGACGAGACTTCGGCGGGGCATACAATATATACAACATGCAACAGTTTATACTAAACAAAAAGGGAATACAGAATGTAATATAACAGAAACTAGCATTAATGAATACAGAAACCAGCCGTTCTACCAATAATCAGCTATAACCAATCCTTAGGGAGTTTCAACATCTCAGTAATGAATTTCAGAAGAAATGAATACTTAAAACAACAACTGATGCGGCGTGCATCAGATCCCACCATATAAATAATAAGAGTATCAATATTCACCCTTATTATTCCTTGTTGCGGCGTGCAACCCGATCCCACCAGTCCACCCTTATTATTCGTCAATATATCACCCTTATTCCTCCTGTTGCGGCGCGCAACCCGATCCCACCTGTCCACCCTTATTACTCCTTGTTGCGGCGTGCAACCCGATCCCACCAGATAATCACATTCACCCTTATTCCTCCTGTTGCGGCGTGCAACCCGAACCCAATATATATAAATCGACCCCGGGTCCGCTTGGTCAAAACTCGAAGTTCGGACCAAAACCCGATTACCCATTCACCCCCGAACTCGGATATACAATTGGTTTTGGAATCCGACCTCAAATTGAGGTCCAAATCTCCAAATTTCGAAATTCCTAAATTTTACCCAAGAACACCCAGTTTTCCATGAAAAACCCTAGATTTTGAGATGAAATCATGCAGAAAGATGAAATAGATTGTAAGAAATGAGTTAGAAATCACTTGCCTATGATTTGGAGAAGTTTGGGTCTTTGGAAAATCGCCTATGGGGGTTTAGGGTTCGAGAGAATTGAAAAATGGGTGAAAATCCCGTCTAAGTTTCATTTTGAACAGTTGCAGATGTCGCAATTGCGACCAGAGCTTCGCAATTGCGGAGCTCGCAAATGCGAGACATGCGTCGCAAATATGAACCTGCTGCATGCCTGCTACTGTCGCAATTGCGAAGGTTACCCCCCCTCCCCGATGACTTCGCAAATGCGAAGGTTTGTTCGCAAATGCAAACTATGCTGGCAATTGCGAGAAAACCCTCGCAATTGCCAAGCCTATGAATTTATGTTAACGTAGTGTTTAGAGTTTTTATATTTTATTATTTGGTGTTCTTACAACATCAATTAATTGATGGATCCTAAAAATATTTGGCATGTAATGTTTCCTTTGAAGAGCTGAAAGAAGTAAAAGTTTTTGGCTTAATATTGCTTGTGAATATATTTTTTTGTGAAACTTTTACTAAATCATTTATTTATATTCTTTTGTAGGTGAAGCAAGTGAAGAAAGGTAGACAGTAACAATGAAGAACTTGTTGGTATTGAGTGATCGTTGCTAGAGTTTCAGATGTTCTAGGAATCATTTATTTGGTAGAACTTATTGAAAACTTATGTATGCCAACCCTTGAATTGTCAAACACTATTTTATATTTTGTTTTTATATATGGATAATACAAGTTATATTTTGGATTATGATTTTAGTGATGAAGAGTTTCATTTGTGATTATGCGAATCTCTATGTATTATATTTTATTATATATGTAAATAATTATTCACAATCAAATAAAAGGGTAAAATCTCATACTATTAAGTTGTTGCAGTTGGTTCCAAAAGCCGTTCTAATAGCATTAACAATTTGTTGCAGTAGTCTTAATAAACCGTTGCAATAGCTAGTATCAACCGTTGCAATATATCATCTAAATCATTACATCAGCATCAAAACCGTTGCAATAGCATCAAGAACCGTTGCAACAAGTAGTATTTCAATGGTTCTGAACCGACCCAAGAGACGAAATAATCGTTGCAATATATAAGCCTATGGTAACAGTCCAAAACCGTTGCGATAGATGTAATATTGCAACGGTTTCAGAACCGTTACAGTAAACCGTTGCAACAGACCTATTGGCACGCGACCTGATGGAACGGTTCTAAAATCGTTACAATTGTCCTATCGCAGCGGATTTGCTATCTATGGCAACGGATTTGCAACCGCTGCAATAGCTCTATTTTCTAGTAGTGGCTTTCAAGGCTATAGTATAAAGAGTTGACTCTAATATAATGAGATTATTCTTTGTAGATGCCTCCGACGGAATCGCAATAATATTTCTATGTCATACATTTCTTGCAAATATCATATCAAGAGGCATGACACTGTTAGTAATAATAGCAAGTGGCAGAGGCTTGACAGATAACATATTACTCAGTCATGAGTTGATAAAGGGATATGGTAGGAAAGGGATTTCACCTAGATGTATGATCAAGATTGACATGCAAAAAACATATGATTCTCTTGAATAGGTATTTCTGGAATAAGTGCTTGTAGGGCTATGCTTTCCCAAAGAGTTCATAGGGTGAATTATGGAGTGCATTAGAACTGTGTCATACTCCATAAATATTAATGGAAGTCCTACTTTACCATTTTCAGCTAAGAGAGGGGTGAGATAAGGCGATCCAATGTCACCATACTGTTTGTTTTAGCAATGGAATACTTGACTAGGATTCTGAAAAAGCTGAAAGAGCAGCCTGACTTTAACTACCATCCCATGTGTGAAAACTGAGTATCATTCAGCTCAGTTTTGCAGATGATTTACTATTGTTCTGTCGAGGTGATGTGATATCCATACAATTGTTATATGAATGTTTCCAAAGTTTCTCCAAAGCTTCAGGTCTTGTTGCAAATCAAAGCAAAAGTTGTATGTATTTTGGTGGAGTTTCAATAGCTGTGTAGCAAGAGATCATTCTAGAAAACTGGCTTTACAATAGGTGAACTTCCTTTTTGATACTTAGGAGTACCTTTGAGTTCAAAAAGTTTGACAGTAAATCAATGTCAATCTCTACCGGATAAAATGCTGGGGAGAGTTAAGTAGTGGACTGTGAAATTCCTAAGCTATGCTGGACGATTGCAATTGATAAAGAGTGTGCTAATAGCTATACAATCGTTCTGGTCACAAATGTTTCCCTTACCAAAGAAAGTCATTCATTCAGTTGAAGCTATTTGTAGGAAATTTCTTTGGACAGGTGATGCTAATGCAAGTAAGAAAGCCTTGGTGACATGGGATAAATTGTGCAGACCTAAATCAAAAGGGGGCTTAAACATTACTGATCTCAGTGTGTGGAATAGAGCAGCATTACTGAAGCATTTATGGAATATTTGTAAAAAAAGAGGATAAATTATGGATACGATGGGTGCATGTATACTACATAAAAGGCAGGGTTCCTTGGTCAGTGGATGCGAAGCAAGCTTCATGGATAGTTAAGAAGATATTGCATGCATCAAAATACCTGATTGAAGCTGGTTTGGAAACTGAAAAGGTCCTAATGACAGATACATTCTCCATCAGAGTCCTATACAATCAATTGCAAGGGGACTTACCAAAAGAGAGCTGGAGAAGATTGATATGTAATAACAATGGCCGCCCAAGATGGAGGTTCATATTATATCTAGCAGTACAGGAAAAGTTGTATACCAAAGATAGACTATGTAAGTGGGGGATACAAGTAAACCAAACATGTCCCTTATGTGATCAAGAGATGGAAAGTCATCAATATCTCTTTTTTGCCTGTATATTTTCAGCAGACACATGGGGGAAATTACTAGCATGGCAGGGAATTACAAGAAGGATATATGGTTGGGAGATTGAGTGGGCAACAAAACATGTCACAGGCAAGGGACCAAAAGCTGGGATTTATAGAATGAGCATTGCAGGAGCTGTATATTATCTTTGGATGGAAAAGAATCGAAGAATTTTTCAGTAGGAAAGGAGATGCAGTGAAGACATTACTAGGCAGATAATTCAAGAAATGCATTGCATAGGCAATTGGCAAAGTGGTTTGAGGAAAGAAATGCAACATTTGAATTTTTACCCATAGCATGAATGAAAATAGGTAGAATGAGTGGTAGAATGAGTAGTATACTGAGTTTGGGGCCTTCTGTCCAAACTTAGGAGTTTTGTTTATACCTGTAAATATTTTCACGTGGTAATAAAAAATTAATTAACAAAAAAAAAAATAATAGCAAGTGGTGTACCAACAACGATTTTGATGTGAGGCCACCCACTTTAGATTTGATATACCTCTTCAAACAACTTAAATAACTATTACAAATATATCAAAGTAGAGCAATGGTGCTAAATTCATAAGGAAAGCAAAATTAATAATATGGGATGAAGCACTTATGGAAAAGTGTCAAATGATCGAAATAACCCAGAGTTCTTATTAATGTACCGTTTGGTGGAAAATTAATGATTTGAGAGGTGATTTTGTCAAGAACTACCAGTAGTTCCAAAATCGACAAAAGCAGATATTGTAAAAGCTAGCTTGCCAAATTTATATTTCTAGCCTCAAATGAAAAAGATTCAACTGACAAAAAATATAAAGTAAGAACAGATCCAGTATTCAGTATCTTCTTGCTTCGTGTTGGAAACGAATAAGAGCATCCAATAAAAGAAGATCTGATTTTTTTTGAACACTTGGTTATCAATCCCAATGGTAATAGTGGTGCATTTAATAAGAGAAATATTTCCATCATTAGATTAAAACTCAATTTGTGCAAACCGCATAATAGAATTAAAAAGATTTCTTAGCTAGCATAAATGAATATGTTGATCAACATAAAAGGTTATTGCAAAATTTATAATAAAAATAAAATGTTTTTCAATTTTTGACACAGTAAAAATGATACTAATAATTACTACCAAGAAGAATACTCAATACTTTAATACCAAATGGCCTTCTACCATACATGTTTGTTGTCAAGTTTATTATTTCTTACATATGTTAGTGTCACCGTATATATAATAGACTAACTTAAACTTGATCTTCCATTGTATATAGGTTAATTATGGGAAAAAATATGTCCGTCAAGCTACTAAAAAACTTCGATACGTCGAATAGCTAATGTAATAACACACAGATGATATATAAAAGTTTTGAGTATAACATCATACATGCAAAAATTATGATACCAGTCCATGTGCTTCTAAGCATATTCTTATCCCTGAATTCAACTTTCGTCTTCCAAAACTAAGGAATATCCTTTATAATTTATGTGAAAATAATTTTTAGTATGTTTATGTTTTGCAAATATAACAAATAAAACACAAGGACAAATATCCTAAATATTGGAATATTTAACGCAATATATTTTCTTGCACGAACACTATATGTTGCACTTTCAAGAGGGAAATCAAGATCGACAACAAGAGTTTTGGTTAAGGCAGAGCAACCAAATCATTTGGAGGAAACATACACAAAAAATATTGTCCACAAAGAAGTGTTCGTTAAGATACCATCACGTTAAATACTTTTAAACTATAATACATAGTTATCTAACTAACATGACAAAATTGATCATTTGTGTAAGTTTTGATGATGTCCTTTTATTTTAAATTCATGTATTATGCTAATGAAATAATATTTTCGGCATTGAGATTATTGTTGTATTATTATACATAAAATTTCTCTCATTAATTAAATTTTATCGTTCCTTCATATAAATAAATGTTTAAATCATTACCTGCATTATTAACGTGCAATGCACGTTCATAGATACTAGTGTATAATCACTCTATCGTTACCCAAACCTTTAAACTCATTTGCTTATTGTGATTTCAAACAAATTCAAAACGTTCTTGTCTAGCATGCCGTGGCCGTCCCTCTATATCTCTTTCTGGTTCAAAACGTACGAAACCATAATATGTATTGTCAGAATCACTTTTTTTCCACTAAAAATGCCTTGAGGGCCTAACCGCCTGATCTCAAAATATCTTGCTTGGATTTTTCTCCTAATTTTGTCCCACTCGTCAAAAGAGTCCTACAAGATGAAGAGCAATGATAGGTAATCCAACAGCACCATAGGAATGAAGCTGAAATATACAGCCCAAGGCAATATATATCGACCCTCACTAGTAGCTAAGTATTATAATGTCACATGATTTACACGTGACTTGTTAGTTGGGCTGTTAGGCTGTTAGTTAGATAGATAATGGTAGTTAAGATTGTTAATGTAAGTTAAGGGTAGATTAATTTTTTTACACTTTTACTAATCTTCTTCTTCTTAGCTTCTTGTATATAATGATGTAGTTGTGCTCAATGAAACAGTGGCTTGAACATTTCTCTATTCACCGACTCTCTTCCTCACAATTGCTTCTAGAACCTTCCTCCATTAGAGACCTTTGATAATCTCTATCTTTTAGCATGGTAGCAGAGCACCTTACCTAGATTGAGTCACGCATCTCTGAATTCTTCTTTTGTTTTTATCATCGATTAATTAAGATTTGTTGAAGCTCGCCAAATTTCATCCATGCCGGAGTCTGATTCGTCGGTGTCGGAGATGGTGACGATTGATCACAATCATCCACTATACATTGGACCTTCTGATAATCCTAGCTCACAGGCTCCGAGAATTATGGGCTATGGAGTAGATCTATGAGAATAACACTTTTGGGAAGAAAAAATTAGGTTTCATCACTGGTAGATGCAGCAGGAGTGTGTATGAAGGAGAGCT